TTTCTTAGTTTATTTACACTTTCGATTTCTCACACCAGAGAAACAATGTGGTATTTAAATATCTGTGTCCAATTTATATCACTTAGACTCTCAAGGTGAATCCATTTATGTAGAAATGTCTCAAGCTTATCGTTCTTTATGGCAGAGTAATACTCCATTATATTAAAAAAACACATCTTTATTCATTCATTGTCTGATGGTCATTTGGGCTGTTTCCAAGATTTAGCTATCACAAACTGTGCGTCTATAAACATGGGTGTGCATGTATCACTGTGGTGTGCTTTTAATTCTTTTGGGAAGACATCAAGAAAGGGAATAGGTGGGTGAAATGGAACCTCAAGTTTTAGTTTTTTTGGGAATCTCTACATTGATTTCTACAGTGGTTGCACCAGTCTACACTCCCTCCAACAATGGAAAAGGGTTCTTTTTTACCACCAGCCCTGCCAGCATTTGTTGTTGGTTGATATCTTGATAGCAGCCATTCTTTCTGAAGTGAGATGGAATCTCTGTGTTGTTTAAATTTGCATCTCTCAAATGACCAGTGATGTTGAACATTTTTACATTTTTCCATTTTCACTTCTTTATCTGAGAAGTGTCTGTTCATTTCAGATGCTCGTTTTTTGAATGGGTCTTTAAATGTGGGGAGGGTCTGATTTTTTTGAGTTCTTTTATATATTCTCAATATTAGTCCTCTGTCTGAGGAACAGCTGACAAAATTTTTTCCCACACTGGCGGTGATCTCTTCAGTCTATTGGTGGTTTCTTTGCTGTGCAAAATCTTTTTAATAAAATGAGATACCAATTACTGTGTCTCTTGTGATATTTCCTGTGTGATTGGGGTTTTTTTCATAAAGTCTCTGCCTACACCAATGTCTTCAAGAGCTCTACGTATTATATCTTCCAACAGATTTAGTGTTTCTGTTTTAATATTTAGGTCTTTGATCCATTTTTTGTTTTAGTGCACAGTGAGAGAGTCAAGTCTAGTTTTAATCTTTGGCATATGGAAAGCAAGTTTTCCCAGCACTATTTATTAAAGAGAATACCTTTCTTCCAATGAAGGTGTTTGGCTCCTTTGTCAAAGATAAAGTGGCTGAATATGTTGGGAGCTGTTTTTGCATCTTATAGTCTATTCCATTGATCCTCGGTTGTTTTTTTGCCAGTACCATTATGTTTTTATCACTGTAGCTTTGTAGTATAATTTCAAGTCACAAATTGTGATGTCCCCTGCCTTGAGAGGCCCTGGTTTCATTTCCTAGTACTGACAAATTGTGTCTGCTGGTTTCCCCTTCTCTGTTGCTGGGAGAACCCAGCTCTGAGATGCTGCTTTCTACTCCTCCCATCAGTGGTCGCAAGTGGTTCATAGATGCTTGCCCAATAAAAGATGTACCATGCTTTTGGAAGTACCACCACTCAAATGTAAACACTAGTCCTGATATTAAGATGTCCCTGTAAGTGCCACATAGAATTTGGTGTCAGTGAATTTAAAAATCCTGTCCCTGCCGCCAAGTGCTCAAACAGCCTCAGAGCGTAAAGCAATCCCAGCCCCTGCCAGCCCAGCCCACAGACGCTCCTTCCAGCCCAGAGGCGGGCTTAGGCCATGAGGGGGGGCAGAAGGAAATTCTGCAGCAGCCGTGAGTTCACCCAAGCAGTTCCTGTCTGCCAGCCTGCCACTGCCGTGGGCCCCTTTTACTCCTAAAAATGCTCAAGTTTAGATAAGTTTATAGTCATCCAGGACAGACATTTTTCCCTATGTGGACAGTCATTGTTTTTTCCTGCATGAAAACATTCATCAAGTAAAGGTAATCTTTAAAATCAGATTTTAGTTCTCAGTATGATTTGTGAAAGCAGAGCTTCATTTTTGAACGCAGTTACTTCATTTACTTATTTGATGAGAGTGAGAAGTGTCTCCTAGTACAGTGGTGGCGAACCAATGGCACACAGAACTCTCTTTGGGGACACAGGAGCCAAGTGACCCCTTCCATCGTTTGCATGCATACAACAGCAAAGATCACGTTAATTGTGCAAAAGAATACCAGTTCAAACTTTTACGTTTCGATTAAAAAGCCATTTCATTGAAAGCTCTGTTACTATTTTTCTTTTAAGACAAAGATGTTAATTTTTTTTTAAACTAAAACCTTGGTATTCAGGTTTAATTGTAGTATTGGCACTTTGCAATAGATAAGTGGGTTTTGGGATGCAGTTTTGGTACTCAGTCTCTAAAAGGTTTGCCATCACTGGCCTAGTTCTGTAGTTAAAGAATCCTGGTTCTGCAGTAATAAAGACTGTTTTAAGTTTTGGCTGTAAAGCATACTAACTGTATGGTTTTGTGTTAATTAGGAAGTAATACATGTAAAGGGATTAATTAGCACAATGCCTGGATTACAGTAGGTAGCCCAGTGGTAATAGTTACTAAGGTTTGTAAATCTTACAAAATGCTTTTTCTGTGGCAAATCTTGCTTGGTGCTAAGGAATATAGAAATTGACGTTGTTCCCAAGAATCTGACACAGAATACCATTTCTCCCTTTACTGTCTCTTTCTGTATACTGAATAATAGGCATTTTTAGACGGTTAAATTTTTATTCATCAGTGTCTGGTTCTTGTCCTGCTATTGTATGGTAACACTGATCGCACAGCTACCTTGTCTGGTACTGTAACAGATACTGAGGATATGAAATGTGAATATGAAAGTAGTGGCTTCCAGCAGTAGCTGCTTATGTAGTCATGGATTTTAGTTTTAAGGAACCAATGAATAGTCAACTTTTCTTAGAGTACTCCTTGGCTTAAGAGCTTGATACTATCCTGTAGCTGGATAAGGCTTCATGTTTTGGATTATCCAGTTAGTGCAACAACCATACTAGGATCTACAGCATTAGCGTCATATCGTATTCACATTTAACCATCAGTGTTACTTTCCCTACTCCCACCCCCCAAAAGAAAGAGCAAGAACAACTTAAACATAGGTCTGTCCACTCAGTGAGAAACTCAGGTGGGAGATGATAAATCTGCCTTTTTACCTCCTGCCTTTCACAGTGTAAGCATAAGCATCTAGTTATCACATATGATTCTAGTGTTTCTGGATTCATACTGTTTGTGTAGAGTGATTTCTAAGTCAGCTGTTTTGTCTGATCTCTCCCTGACCTCCCAGTACTGGGAATTGAACCCAGTGCCTTTGCCGTGACTACATCTCCAGCTCCCACCCCGCTTCTTCAGATTTTAAATTTTGAGAGGAGGTCTCACCAAGTTTCTGAGGCTAGACTAGAATTTGCAATCCTCCTGCCTCAGCTTCCCAGAGTGCTGGGATTACAATCACATGCCATCACCTTTGGCTATCTTGTCTGTTCTTAACTGGGGGGAAAAATGCATTCTAATCCTATAGGGAAAATTAGCGGGATTGCACTTATTCACAAGTGTTGATACCCAATGCTGAGAATGGAACTGACTTTGAACCCTTCATCCTATAAGAGAAGTCAAAATTAGAACAAACCCAAATGTGTGCCTTCGAGGAGTTCAGGATCTTGTTGGGGAGGATGTCTGTGTTGGAAAGAGCAGTCATAAAACATTTCACAGTAAAAGATGTAAGAAATCATGCAGATATATGGCAGTAACATGTCAAAATGGCCCCAGTTTTATGAGGTATGTCCCATCATTCCCATAATGCAACCTTTTTTCAGAGTGAGTATCAGGAAAGAAGTCTAGATATTTGGTTTAGTAAAAAAAATGGCACCAGTCTTATTAGAGGGGATGTAAAAGAGTGGAAATGCTTTTATTTTGAAATATTGGTCATTGAGTAGTTAGAGATAGAAGGCTCAAAGATGTTCATTTCAGAGAGAACAAGGATCAGAGGCCTATGAAGCTTAGAAATGAGGATGATCATGCAAAACTTTATTTTTCCACTGGGCCAGATAGTGGCAGACAGATTGGCATCTCAGGAGTTGAGGATAATAAGGAACATGACCAGCAGACTTAGGAGTTAAGATAAATCCTCTGGTCCATTAGCTGTTCCTCTTCCTAACTCATAATTACAGTGCTGAGATTTCTTTCTTACCTATCTTGTGGTTACATTTAGTGATGGATTTTATTGAAAATACCTGTTAAAAAATGAATTTTCTATTAAAAAATCATAGTGGCTACGGCTACACGATTATTTGTGAGAGTTAATATGATATAACAGAGGCCAGAAGCAGGAGTCAGAGGCCCAGGCTTTGGGAACCATGCTGTCATTTATTAGCCTGGTGAACACCAGCAAATCTTTTCACTTCTTTGTCTTAATTTCCTCACTTCACTGTACTTTGTGTGTCTGTTTGTCTGTCTCTCTCTTTCCAATACCAGGAATCAAACTCGGGATCTTGCACTTGCCAGGCAGATGCAGTGCTGATGAGCTACCGATCTGGCCATATACTTTGTCTTTTTAATGAAACTTTACAAATTAAGTTTTACTCAAATCCCTACATATAAACAACACTTAATAGGGGTTAAGAGGGTTAAGAAGCTAAAAACCTAAAGATCCCAACTTTTTAACCCCCCCAAAGTTCTTCATGGGAGCTGAGGCTCAGAAGAACCTTGCAAAGATCTCATGTGATGCTTTCGGTGGAAGAGTGGTTGCCTAGTGTGCCCCAGACCTGGGTTCGTCCTCAGCACCCGCCTCCCCAAAGCTTAACATTTTCGGATTGGAAAGAGATGTATCATGCTTTAAAGTGATATCTGTAGGGAGTAGAACTGGAGAATTTTTACTTTTTATGTTCTACTTTTATATGATTGGAAATTTTGTATGTGTTCTATAATATTTGTATTTTTTTATTTATTTATTTATTGGTACCAGGGATTGAATTTGGGACCTTGCACTTGCAAGACAGGCGGCGGCACTACTGAGCTAAATCCCCAGCAAATCTTTGTATTTTATAATAAATCTAGAAGACTTGGATTTGCTCTTTCTGGGTGAATTATATTGCAGAAGTAATACAGGAGAATTAAAAGTTAGCCTTTTTTTTGTTTCCCAGATAGCAGATCCCACATTAGCTGAAATGGGGAAAAACCTGAAGGAGGCAATGAAGATGCTGGAGGGTGGTCAGAGGTAAGTGCACAGGCAGAGGCCACTCTGCCTGCCAAGGTCTGTTCAGCCTGTTTGGGAACTGGTGGCTCTGGTTTCCTTCTGTTAAGGACACCTTTTAACTCCCGAATGCCGTGGATAGCTCCTGCTGACTTTAAAATTGGTATTTGTCTCAGCAGAAGGTACTTTTTAATTAAAAGATTTTGAAATTGAGGGTAAGAACGTATAATTGTCCTGTTTCTTAAATTGTATTTATGTAGTATATTAATTTGAATCTGTAAATTCTTCTTACTATACATTCAGATCATACAGTGCATCAACTGAGAAGTGGGTTGAAGTATTTTGTCATGTTCTTTTCTTTTCATGGAACTCAGACTGCCCAAAACTGGGGTCTGAGATGTGACAAATGTGTTCTGAATCCTACATCAGTCACTAAGAAGTTCTACATAATGTCACATATGTACATGTTCAAATTAATATGATAATTGTTTTTCTTTACATTAGAAGAATAGAGGAGGAAAAAGAAAAGAAGCTTTTATCAGAGGATATTCCAGGGCCACTCCAGGGCAGGTAAGTGGCAGTGAAGATTAAAGGTGTAAGATTTTTACCATCTCCCTTATGTGCAATTTTAATTTGAATGAGCTCAAAGAAAATTTAAATATAGTTCTGTGCAATGTAACATTAAAAAATTAAAATGCCATTAGGATTGATAATGCTGAGCCTACCAGCCTCTTTCTCTTTCCCACTCTAAACTTAATCCAGCCTCGTGACTCAAAAGCCATGCACAAATTTGTAATTACAACTGGAATATCATTTCATCCTTGAAATTGTAATATATTCAATAGACTGAGTTTTATTGTGAGATTTTTAATTTGGTAATATTTATAATTTTTATAATATAGTAAATGAAAATATCATCTGTAACATTGATTGGCATAAACTGGGCGTGGTAGCGCATGCCTGTAATCCCAGCACTCCGGAGGCTGAGGCAGGAGGATCGCTGTGAGTTCGAGACTAGCCTGGGCTACATAGTGAGTTCCAGGTCAGTCTTAACCTACAAAGTGAGACCCTGTCTCAAAAAACCAAAAAAAACAACCAAAAACATTGATTGGCATAGTGATTTAATTTTTGGCTACTAAAGCAAATCTGTTAAGTTTTTGAGGTTTGAACTAGCAGTGGTGGGGAGCAGCTGACTACAGTTTTCACAGGATGTTCACAGCCAGTCTGGAATTAAGGTCTCAGCCCAGCTTTCCTGAGAAAAACATTTTTTTCTTTTATAACCAGGAAACAGCTCTTAGGTCAACAGTACAACTTCCTTCCATAGTATGTTGACCTGCATATGAATTGTCCAAGGTTACAAGGAGAAGGTCACAGTGTGCCAGTCAGTGTGACATCTAACATAACATAGCCACCCCTCAAAATAAAATAGTCACCGCTGTGTGTAGCATGAATTGAGCTGATTTAAAGCCCTCTAAGCCAGATGTGGTGGTACATGTCTATATTTCCCGTGCTTGGAGCTAGCTTGGGCTACATAGTAAATTCAAGGCCAGTTTTGACTAAATACCAAGTCTTCTAGGTGTGGATTGCTTTCTACAACTCAATAAAAAAGAAGAAATGGTTTAAGTTTTGTTTTTTCTTCTAATTCCATAGAAGTTTACCTGGAAGAGATATTCCCAAGAACATATGTAATCTTCAGAGTGATGGCACATTAAAACCAGTAGTTAGGAGTATTCACACTGCTAGTGTCAAACATCTGAGACTACTCATAGGCAGGTATAGGGTTAAGTCCTTCCCATGTACTGTCTGGTTTCATCTCCTCACCTTTCTGTGATGTGAGGGCTTAGCAGGTTGGGATAGCCCATTCAAGGTCATGAGGCCAGCACCTCAGTGTTCCTCCTCCTCATTTGAAGGTAAGCACTTGGGGGAGGATGGGTTTTTAGCATTGTTTTGACAGTACTTCTCTTTTGAAAGAGGACATTTTTGTCAGTCATTTTCTTTTTAGTAGAGGTAACATTTTTACATCAGTACATAACAAGTTGCCTTGCTTTTGCTTACTACTTTAGCCATTTGAATTAACATAATTTTCTGCCTCCCTGAGTGATAAGCAATTAGTAACATGCTGGATAGAAATGAATCTGTTTACATTCTAAGTGGATCTCAAGTTTCCCAGCTTGCTAAAAAGTTTGTAATGAATTACATGTTTAAGGCAGTGCAGACAGGCCTTCTAGATGGAGTAAAACAAGAGGTTCCAATAGCATTAGAATATTCTTGCTGCTTTTGTGACCTTGTAACGTATTGGTGTGTGTGTGTGTGTATGTGTGTGTGTACAAGCTTGGTATTGAACCTGGGCAAGGCAAATGTTCTATTTATTTTGAGATAGCATCTCATTAAATTTGCTGGTCTCCAAGTTAGAATCCTTCTACCTCAGCTTCCTGAATACCTGGGATTACAGGCACAGTGCACTACTGTGCTGGGCCTTTCTACATCTTATAAGGACTTTTGACTTTTTCTAATCACACTTACTAAATATTCTCTATCTGTATTCCAAAATTCAAATGAGCTGGTATAGAAATAATTGCTGGTGAAGTTTTTAAAAAACAAACTCACATTTAGATAGAGGAGTTAATAGCAAGTAAGGCAATCAGAATTCAGTTTAATTTGAATTTTATTTATTGCTATATATATATGTGTGTGTGTGTGTGTGTGTGTGTGTGTGTATAAAATCTATCTTTTTTTTTTTGTTGTTGTTAACGGGGATTGAATTTGGGTCCTTGCGCTTGGGAAGCAGGCAGCGGAACCACTGAGCTAAATCCCTGGCCCCAATTTGAATTTTTTAAGGTTTTGTTTTTTGGTACTGGGAATCAAACTTGGGTCCTTCTGCTTGTAAGGCAGGCAGCGGAACCACTGAGCTAAATCCCCAGCCCTTAAATTTTGTTTGTTTTTTAAGTATTTCAAGATACCTCCTTTATCATGTAGCTACTCAATTACAAACAAGTCAGAAGACTTACAAAATGTGGTTCGAATGGGAGCAGTAGTTGGGGTGGAATGAGGAGGGGTGTGTGTGCAGAGATGAGACTGTATGTGTACATTTTTCCCACCAGTCCATCAGCTCTTTTTATTCTGCAGTGGACAAGATATGGTGAGCATCCTGCAGCTGGTCCAGAATCTGATGCATGGAGACGACGATGAGGAGCCTCAGAGCCCCCGGTAATGGAGGTGGCCTGGCCTGCAGCTCCCCTGTGAAAGTCTGCGCGTTCTCACTTTGAGTAGCAATTATTCTGACAAGTGACTCTCATAAGAAATTGTGTTGCATGTCATACTAAGATAATGCTTTCTCTTTTCAGAAATAGTTTCTGTATTTTAGGTAATATATTTTGTAAAAGGAAGACATTTACTAAAATTAGGTCCAGCCAGGCATGTTGGTACATGCCTGTAATCCTACCGCACAGGCAGACGCATGAGGATCGCCATGAGTTCAAGGCCAGTGTGAAGTACATAATGAGACCCTGTCCCAGAAAAAATAGTGATTCAATAAATAAGTAAATAAAATTAGACCCTGTAGTTTTTATGATATGAGGTCCTACCAAAAGGGGCCACCAGAAGGACAGGAAAATAAGTTCTGTGTGCTTTCCCACTTGTGCTTGCTGGAATTACTGCAGTTTGATGACAGTCTACATTGTCTGGGAATCATCCAATTGTCTTATTTTTTCATCTACTTAGCTGTCTTAATTTCATTTTGTCTTTAATTTTAAAAATTTCTGTAATAATGTGTTCTCCTTGTTCAAAATTCAGTAGATAAAAAAGGGTGTACAGTTTTCCTTTCTGTCCCTGATTCTCTTCCCTGGAGATTCAAAGTTACCGGTTACAAGCAAAATGTCCATGCCCACCTCTCCAGAACGTAAATAATATATGCCTGTGGGCATCACCCTGCTTTTTTTCCCACCTTATCTTGGAATTTCTTTGCATATCAATATAAAAGGAGCTTTTTCTTTGAAAGGTATTTAGGTTTACTTTGAATGATTGGACTCCTTTCTTTAGTCTCCTATTCATGTTTTACTGGAAAAAACTGCTGCGGCTAGTGACTTTGGCTGTGTTGTTTGTTCTCCTTTTCCCCTTCCCTTTCCCATCCTTCCCCTCCCTCCTCTTCCATCCTCTCTTCTTTCTCCTCTCTCTCTCTTCATGTCTCTTTCTTTTGATAGTGGGGACTGAACCTAGGGCCTTTACACTGAGCTAAATCTACAGCTGTGTTCTGAGACCAGGTCTCACAGAGTTACTAACTTGCCCAGGCTGGATGCAAATTTGTGATTTTCCTGCCTCAGCATCTCAGAGTGCTGAGATACTAACATTCTAGACATGTGTGATTTCTTAGAGAGGCAAATGTGTGGAGGAGGGTGAAATCTGAGAATTATGATTGGGGATAAGGTAGTATGTGTATTTGGAATTTCAATAGATAGTGCTAGATTTTCCTCCTTGCAGGTACGCCATATATGAGAATACTTCATTCCCATACCTTTGCCTGCAGTGGTGCTATCAAACTTAAGGATCTTCAACAAATGAAAATGTTCTAGTGAGATATTTCAGCATAATTTAAAATCACTTTTTCTTTTGAGCCAGTTTAAGTGTATTTTTGTATATTTTAAGACTTAGAATATTTTAGGCCAGGGATTTATTTAGCTCAGTGGTGCTGCACCTGCCTTGCAAGCCCAAGGTCCTGAGTTTGATCCCTGGTACAAAAAAAAAAAAAGACTTAACAGTATTTATATTCCCCTTTTTGTGAACTGTCTTTTGCTCCTTACCCTATTTGGATCTTTGTCTTTTCTTACTATTTACAGTTAATAGTTGTAACTTATTTTTTGTATTTATAGTTTTTCTTTATAAGAGAAACTGACCATCCGTTTTAATTTAATTTAAAACAAGTACTTAACTCTCCTTGAATATTCTGTATTATTTTCAATATGCCTAATGCTAGAAATTGATCTTTAGTAATTCTGTAACAGGTGTTTTCTGCTCATTTTACCCTCTGTATATTTTTGTTTTGTTTTAGTTTTAATGCAAGGATTGGAGCCTAGAGCCCAGTGTGTGGTAGGCAGGTGCTCTACTACTGAGCTTTAGCCCCTCGGCTCCTTCTACTTCTTAAAGCTAGCATTTAATTTTTAAAATATTTTAAGAGGAAATTATTCGAAAGTAGTTTGTACATGCTCAATAAGGGATATTTATTTTTTTCACTTAAAGACTTTAAGATTGAGAAATGCTTCTTTCCCAAAAGCTACAAATCTTCTCTTCAAAAACTTTATTTATTTATTTATTTATTTATTTATTTTTTGGACATCAGGGATCGAACTTGGGCCCTCTTGCTTGCGAGAGAGGCAGCGGAACCACTCCCTGCCCATTGAGGACTCAAATTTTAACACTATATTTCTCCCAACTTTGAGTACCTTATATACATTGAGTTTTCTGAATTTAGCCACATTTCTGCCCTCTGGGACATGAAGTGGATTTCAAGCCTACCAGATTTCTATGGAACCTTGTATCCCTTAAATTCTGTTTTTTATTCTTTGACTCATAACATTTTTTTTAATCTAATGAATTTTTATTAACAGAATCCAGAATATTGGCGAACAAGGTCACATGGCTTTGTTGGGACATAGTCTGGGAGCTTATATTTCAACTCTGGACAAAGAGAGACTTAGAAAGCTTACAACTAGGATACTTTCAGACACTACCTTATGGCTGTGCAGAATTTTCAGGTAAAGACATTAGTTTACTTTCCTGCAAAGATTATTTATGAGTCAAATACAGGGATCTTTTCTGTGGAGCTTACTGGGCTCAAATATACCATTTGTTGAAGGGTTGCTTATCTTCCCCGTGCCTCAGTTTTATCATCTGTGAAATGGGGAGAATATTAGTATAGGTCACGGAATTATTATGTGGATTGAATGAGCTAATGAATTGATTATGTAGAGTTCCATAGTGTCAGTGTTTACTTTTGGTTATCCTCCTGATTGTCCCATGTCAATAGGAGATAGAGCATTGACTTGAATCAAATACTTTCATTGTATTCTTCCTCCTCTAGGAGATTGAGAAGAATAAAAGCCCTGAGTAGATTGTAATAAAACCAAACATTAGCCCAACGAGCGTTTTGGGCAGCTTTATTTAGTTTGGATGTTTGAGGACAGAAACTCTGCTGACAGTCATGCCTGTGTTTCCAGTGCTGCCCTCACCAGCCAGAACTGGGATCTTTAGGCATTTTGTATCCAGAGGATTCCTAATCTCTACTTGTTTTCCATACTTTTTTCTTTGGGGTAGGGTATGGTTGAAAGGTTATTGCCTCTCTTCTTTATAACCCCCAGCTGTAGGGGTTGTCAGCCATCTAAACAGGGTGTTTCACATTTCTATCCTCTCTGCTTGACCTAGGTGAAAATGTCTAGCTGGACAGAAGAATTGCCATGATTACGAGATTGTAAATCAGAATTAATCAGAAGTAGGAGAACAGTAAAAGTAATTGTGTCTTCACAGGTATGACAATGGCTGTGCTTATTTCCATGAAGAAGAAAGGGAAGGACTTGCCAAGATCTGTAGGCTTGCCATTCATTCTCGATATGAAGACTTTGTAGTAGATGGATTCAATGTATTATATAACAAAAAGCCTGTTGTATATCTTAGTGCTGCTGCTAGACCTGGCCTGGGCCAGTACCTTTGTAATCAGGTAATCTTTTCTCTTTTTTAAAATAAATTTTTATTTTATCGCATTTCCCCTTCAGTCCCCCTCCCCTCTCTACGTACAAAAGCTTTATTTCCATTTTTCCTTCTGTTTTCACCTTTTTTTTCTTTGAGATAGGGTCTCACTATGTTGCAAAGGCTGGCTCTCAATTCCTGAGTTCAAGCAATCTTTCTGCCTCAGCCTCCCAAGTAGTTGGGACTATAGGCATGGCGCACACTTGGCTTGTCTTGAAACTTTAAATCTTGTGGACACATTTTTTTAGTTGGTATTCTTTTCAAGTTGAAAGGAAGATGGTCCTCTTGTGTGCTTGTTTTGTTAAAGATCTGGCATTAATGAATTCAGCAATAATGTATGATAGTTTATATTTCTTTAATTGCGTAGAGGCAGCCACGGTTAGTATTTTATCTTGTTTTTTTGTTTGTTTGGTTGGTTGTTTTTGTTTTTTTTTTTTTGGTACTAGGAATCGAGCTCAGTAATGGAAGTAGTATATCATATTTCAACAGTGCAAGTAAAGCTCATTTTTAATATCTTCATGATAATTCCTCTCATGAATAAATAGTAATATAATTATTTCCCCTTTGGACAATTAGAGCATTTCTAGTCCCTTGCTTTCTGTGACCACCTTCAGGTAATGTTCTCTGTGTGGTTCTGTTAGGGACATCTTTGTACGTAAAGCTCTAGTTCCATGGGAGGCTGAGGGAGGAGGACTGCAAGTTCCAGGCCAGTCTGGGCTACTTAACAAGACCCTATATATAAAAAAAAGTTTTGTCTAAATTTGGAGTTTTATTCTGTTGGTAGGATTTCAGAGGTAATGTAGAATTCCTAGATCAAAGCACATTACCTTTTTGAAGTTTATATTTACATGTAACCCAACTGAGGGGAACTACCTTGAGATAAGAAATTGTTAACCCTCTTGAGCAGGAGGAATGTTTAACATAAAACCCATAGGGTTTGAGGGTGGACATGAGATGTGATGTGAAGGCCCTGGGAGATGAACAGAAGACATTCAGCGCAGCTGATTCTGAGCTATGAAGACTTACCACAAGAGATTATGTCCTCTTTTTGAGGTGATACAAAGTGGGAAGTGGTTTTGTTTGTCATGGGTTATTGAACCCAAAGCCTTCACAGTGACCTACACCTCCATCCCTTTTTATTTTTTATTTTGAGACAGGTTCTCAATAGTTTGCTAAGTTGCTCAGTTGTGGGTTGAACTTGTGATCCTCTTGCTGCCTCCCCCCAGAGTGTGGGAGTTCTGTGTTTTTGTAGAAACAGGATACAAATTATTTGAGTACCTTCAGAAAACCAGGCTCCTGTGGATCTGAAGCTGCCTTGGGATAGTAATCTAATCATCAAAATGTGTAAGAGTATTTTGTTAATGGAGAAAAGCAAGTGGCAGGCTAGTGATTGTGTGATGGCTGCATTCGTGTTTTTAAAAGTATGTACATTTTGCTGGGTGTGGTGGCATACACCTGTGATCCCAGCATTTGAGAGGCTGAGGCAGGAGGATCTCCAAGAGTTTGAGGCCAGCCTGGGTTACACAGTGAGTTCAAGGCCTGCCTGAACT